CTCTCGAGTCGAACGGAAGAAGGCACGGAGACAGACAAAGACGTACCTGTATTTGTTGACTGTTTTAAAAAGTTAACACCACAGCTCTCCTTTTTTCGGAGCTGCGGCAAAAACTTATTTAATAAAGCAGCGACACAGTTCACTGAACCAACAGCAAGTTATAACATTGGAAGCATGTCTCCAGGAAGGAGCCATCTTGGAGTTGATGTATTAGCGTAATGACCATACAAAAGACGCACCAGATTTTAAGGCGCTCGGTGAGCTTTTAAGAAAATTGAAGACTTTTTGGTGCGCCCTATAGTGCGAAAATACGGTAGTTATGTATAAGTTACCCGACACAGACAGGGAGGATTCTCAGCATTGGCATCTCTGGTGATTTCTAATGTATGTTATTTATTTATTGAAGCTTTCATATTGATAAAAAATGAATTGTGAAGTATAATATTGTACTGTAGAGGTTTGCAGTTCTTGAGGTGATGTATTGGAAGATAAGGGTCAACTGTTTTTTTTTCCCCTTTTGGTAATATCCTCAAATAAATGAAATGCTTTTCTTTAATACCACGCATCGGTCTCTTTTGTATCGGTGCATATGGGTGAGAGTGCTTGCAAGAGAGAGTATACAGACAATTATCTGCGAATCTGCTAATGTGTTTTTATAAACAGTTTTGTCATAAGCTCTGCAGTGTGAACGTAGCCATAATTATATAGTCGGGTTTTTTTGGGGGTGAGGGGGTACATATTGTCATATATTACGATATTAAGAGGTGGATTAGTTCACCAAATACTTCTTTACATTAATGTACTTCAATAAACAGACCCAAATTATGCATATTGAGAGTAAAGACACAAATAACAATTCGTCATTCACTTGAAATGAACTGCAAATTGCAGTTTGTAAATCTGTGTGTTGCTGACACCATTAACAATGAGACCATCTTAGTCTGGCCAAGTATATTTGACATGTTTGTGTGTGGAATTTTCGTGGCCAATTGGAAAACCACCTAATGTGGGTGGAAGATGAAGGAGAGGTGGAAAGCGGGTTCATCGGCAAAAAGAGAAGAGGAAAAGCACAGACCCTCAATGTAGGGACTTGTTGCGTGTTGTACTTTAACATGGAGTAGCTTCAATGGCCCACTCCTCCCTTATAAACTTCCTCTATCACGCACTCTTTTCAGATACTTAATACTCAGGTATTTGCAAAAGAGTAGAAATATGCCTCTGGTCATGAGTGAGTTAGCATAAACTAATTCGAACATTGTTCCTTCTCTTAGCATCTTGCTGTTTTTGTGCGAGTGTGACGGCGAATGCAGGCAGGACCTACCAGCCAAAGCGAGTAGGCTAACTGCAAAGATTCTCCAAAGGTCCAGCAGTACTTTATAGACTACAGCCTTTAAACGCTCAGCCAGTTGCTTGGCTAAGGTTGCAGTAGAAAACTCCTGAGTGGTGTCACCAGAAAATGATGCTTCATCATCTTCATCCTCTGATTCTTGATCAATTTCACCCTCACCATCTGTTTGTTCTTCTTCTTCTTGGATCTATGTTCAAAGTCGGGGAAAGAGGGAGGGTATTTATTAATTGTATTTTTAAAAAAATAGAAGAAAGCGGTGGGGGACATTAAGTCGAACAGGACACTATTTCACACCTGGGCATTATATAGCCCGCAGGCTATATCTGACCAGTTCACACTTCTCTGACAAGCCCTCTGAAGCTTATCAGGACGCCAAAATAAAACACAAAAATAAGTTCTCTCTTGGTCATTGCTGAGATTCTGGAAAAAGTACCCGAAAGTTCCTTCAACTGGAGCCACACTAAAATACCAGTTGAAGAAAACAACCTGCCTTTTTGCTTCCAGTCCATCCATCCATCCATCAATGCAATACAACCCTGGACAGTTTTCCAAAATGTTTAAATTGATGTTTTGCAGATTCAAATAATGTATATAAACCCCTTGTCTGAGAGGGGAACAAATTGTAGAAGATTGCAGTCTATCACATATGTAGAATTCTAAAGAGGCCAGTCACTGCATAAAAGCTGTTTTGTTTGATTGTTGTCTCTGATATTGTGCTGTGCCCTCTTTATGGCACAGCTGTCATCTACCTGTTTGTGGCGTAGTGGCGTGAAGGCTACTTCACAGATGTGTTGTGCTATGAAATGACACACTCATCCTATATGACACAGTGTCCGGACTGTGAAGGAGTTGGTCAGGAAGGTATCCACTGTACATCTGTAGAAGTTGCTGAGCATTTTGGGTGTAATTCCAAATGTTCTTAGCTTCCTCAAGAAGTGCAATCTTTGTTGAGCCTTTATGATGATGTGTTGTGTTTTGTGGGTCCATGTGAGGTAATCTCTGATGTGAGTACTGAGAAGTCTTCACCTGAGTCCCACCGATGACAGGGGTGCGAGCTGCTATTTTTTTTCACCTTGAGATCGTCATTTCTTTAGTCTTAACAGCATTTAATGGGAGATTATTTTCATAGCACCAAGACATCAGCTGAGCCACCTCATTCTTAAAGGCCAGTGTTACCCAATCGAGGGTCCGTGCAAAGGTTCTGTGATGATAAGATCTTTTTAAAAAGATTGTAGGACACTTATGGAACTAGGATCATCTTACTCAAATGTGACAGACCTTCATCTACATAAACCACAGCGGTAACAAGAGTATGTGTTCTTTAATTTCATGTTTCACGAGTGTAATTCATTGTATTTCAATACGAGATTCTACTCCTACTCCCATTTGTGGGGTCCAGAACCCCAGTAAGGTTGAGAATCACTACTGTCGGCTGTTTCTTTTTTTGTCATGATATGAGCAATCTTGATGATTTTAGTGTCATCCTGGAAGAGATGCAGTCAGAGGGTGTACAGGAGAGGGCTGAGCACACAGCCCTGGGGAATCCCTGTGCTCACTCTACTTGCGCCTGATGCCTGCATGCCAAATCAGACTTTCAATTAGAGAGTAAATTCACCACCCATGTGCAGGGGGGGTGGGGGGTTAGTCAGAGGCTAAACTGCTTCTCAGAAAGCCAGTTTGGGATTACTGTGTTGAATGCTGAGCTGTAGTCAGCTGTAGCGCAGAGCAATTTCCCGGAGTCTTCACGGAGACTTCAGAGTTGTCTACCGCTGATGAAGCTTCTGTGAGAGAAGCGAAACGTCCTTTTTTGTTTTTTGTTTTTTACCCACAGGTACAGATGACAACTGACGGAACCCTTTCTACTATGTATCCAATGGTGAAACTGAAATGAAACCGCACTGCAGATTTTAATAAAGCCTGTGCTTCTTTGAATTTTCGTCGAGCAAAGCCCGCTGTAATGCCACTGATTTTATGCTTTAGTGTGGCTGTAAGCTGTAGTTTCAACATGCAACAGACAAACACACTCATTCTGCGTCAATGCAACGTGAATTGCAAAACTGAAAAACCATTGTCACTAAGGTTTTACCAAGTCCTGTCACATCCCGAGTTTTTATTAATGTTCCAAAATCCCAAATGTTATTTTGAGAACAGTTTCTGTGGTAAAATCCCATGATAACAACTTACTGTTGTAATATTGGCTGCAGCCAGTATTTCTCTGTTTGTGACCAATCTTCTACAAAGGATGATGGTTAACAAAGAAATCCCACACAGCATCAGGTCGGGACTCAGAAGGCGCAATACAGTCCAAGGATCCTTCAGTGGAAGCCTGAAGAAAAGACGTTAATTTCTTCACATTGTGTCGTCAAATATTTGATTTTAAGATACACTATATGTAACATACAAAATCAATAATATTCTCATTCATTTGACACACACACACACACACACACACACACACACACACACACACACACACACACACACACACACACACAGAAAAACAATACTTTCCAACAACGATGTAACGTCCTGTCAATGGGCTTACATTTCTGTGTTTTCAAGTCAAGTCAAGTCAAGCTTTCTTGTCAAATATGCTCTATGTGCAACATACAGCACAGCTAAAATTACTTTCCTCTCTCAACCACAGTGCAAACATGCAGTGCATTGAAACACACACAGCTAAAATATAAGGGCAGCAAAACTGAACTGCCCATGTAACAATGCATGCTATGCTATTCTATGTGTAAACCGCAATTTGGCAAGGAAAGGGACAATGGGTTGCAAACAGCAAAAATCTGTGTTTAATTGATGGCCATTAATTTCTTTTTTTGTAACCCTCAAAATTCTTGGAAAAAAGTTAGATAAACCTCCAATGAACCTTTCTATGAGAAACAGAAAAAAATTTGAATTAAAATCTTGTTTTTTAAATATTATTTAAAACTTTGCGGGAAAAATCTGGGAATAGGTGAATCTGCAGGTGCTGAACAACTGGTGCTAAAAGGGCTCCACTCTGTACTGTGCATTTGTGTTCTACGGAAGTAACAGACAATCAATTACAAAAAAAAATATATATATATATATATATATATATATATATATGGAGAGGGAGAGAGCAAGAGAGCGAGAGAGCGAGAGAGAGAGATTTTTTTTTTTTTTAATGCTGACATACCTGGACAGCCCTATATGGGTGGTTATGATATCCACGTGCGAACAGTTATCACCAATAGCAATGTTGAGAGGAGGGTAGGTGTATAATACTGTCTGGAAGCAAACATGAGCAAGTATAAAAAGTAGACTGGTCCAAAATATTGCTCTGATGAAATGTCCTGTATTTCCTAAAAGATAAAAACAAAGCAGAAAGAGTGTGTAAATATTTAATAGAAGAATAAGGACACCAGCGGGTCCCTCCACCATGTTGAGGTGGTCCTGCCAGGACCAGCTTTTGACCTGCATATTTACAATACAATAAGTTTTCATATTTAGTGTCGTTATACTTACTGTATTATTAACGGGTCAAAAAATTTTTTTCTCATTGAAACAAAATTTTTAAAAATTAAAGAAAAAAAAGAATCGCTGCTACCGTTAAAACCTTTGGCGAACATCTAGCAAATATCCCCACAACCGTTTGGGAACTTGCAGTTTGGTTTTGCAGTGTAGCGCTGGGCAACTTGACTTTAACAATGTTCAGAACAATCAACTCCTTGATTACTTGGGTATTTCTCGTAGGAAGAACAATAATTTCCGTTCATGTCGTCTGTTTCTTAATGGGAGTTTTCAGTCCTGTGTTGCGCATAGAGGAACATTTGCTCCTACAAGTCTGTCCGTTTTAAATTCTGAAGAAGCATTCTGGTTGTGCAACTAGCTTTGGTGTCAACAGCCTTTAAAATTACTTTTCAGCAGACTGTTTGCATTGTCGATTGTCCCGCTGCTCATTGCCATTGTGATGAAGTTATTTGGTGAAATGCCTCAGCGCTGTGTGGCAATGCACTGTTCACATTCAGTCAAACGGTTGGTTGAGTGGCCAGAAGAAAAAAAATAGGGCACCTAAGTGAACCAGAAAATTGGAACGATACAGTTTCATTCTCACAAAGCGAATGAATTTTATCCCGGTGTCGACGAGCATTCTTTGTTTCCAATTAGAAGACATCTGTTTTTTTCAACCAGATTTGCAAAAAAGGAAGGTGTTATAATCAATGAATAACTCTGGCTGTTTATGAAAACATTCGATTCAGTTCAATACGTGTACATGGATGTAATCCTGTACAAAAACATTCAATGTCTAATGGTTTGCAACTAACAATGCTGCTGATACAATGTGTGGAACGGCCGACAAAGCAACCTTAGCAGTGACAATGGAGGACACCAACCCACTATAACGTGTGCTCTCAGTGCTAGCGAGAACACATGAACCAAGTAGGTTATCCCATCGTGGGTAATTTACAGCTCGGCACAGCATCGAATTGCAAACACTAACACTAGGCTAATAACCAACAATTGTACGGCCATAAACTAAAGATCCATGTAGCAACCTGCTTTTCAGTTTCATTCAGGAAATGTATGAAGGGGATATAAAATCAACATGAGTGATGGAAACACCTATTTTATTATTCTTGTAAATGACTGTTGGCGTATATGCAATACAACATCGCCCTTAACCGTTTCACGAACAGCGGTTACTACAGTAGACAGTTTACTGCATAGGTGTCAAACTCAGGTCCTGGAGGGCCGCTGTGCTGCATGTTTTCCAAGTTTCCCTGTTGCAACACACCTGATTCAAATTATCATATCATCAGCAAGCTCTGCGGAAGCCTGACATTGAACCTGTTCATTTGAATCAGGTGTGCTGCAACAGGGAGACTTGGAAAACATGCAGGACAGCGGCCCTCCGGGACCTGAGTTTGACACCTATGGTTTACTGTATTATCAGATTACAGGGTGCATGAAAGGGTTAACTTGGCGAATGAGGGGTAGGATATTTGTGAGTTCCCTTGAACTTCAACCTACTCCTTTTGACTTTCATTTGTAACCTTATTTTGTAATTTTTCTATTCTGTTTTAAACATGATGCTCAATTAAGATATCCTTTATTGTCCCACACTGGGGAAATTTACAGTCTACAGCAGCAAAATTGGGGGGTAGAAAGAAGAAAAAAAAAACCAAAGTGTTTTCATGCACAAAATAAATGTTTCGGAAGAGAGAGAATAAAGTCAATCAATTAAAATAAATACTCTCAATGGAAAAAATGTGCAGGCTCAAGATGTAACAATGATCGGTAATCAAAAAGAATTGGAGAGAGACAATTGAAGTGAATTTAGAGAGTGGCGCAAGATTCACACCCCAAGTACTCTAGTAGTCTAACCATCAACATCCGAGATGCCCTTACCTTCTCCTCCATCAAACCTGACCTTAAAACCAAGTTCTTCAACCGAGCCTTCTCCACCTAACCTCAGCCTTGCCCTACCACATCCGCTTCTCTTTATTTTCCCCCTTCCTATATTCATTTTTCTGTCTAATTTGTTTTTACTGTCATACAGTATGATTTATTTTTTTTCTTTAACAAGTTTAACAAGCATCATTTCAGACATGTCACGTGTCTCAGTAACAACGTTCCCGGATTGCAGCTGATCCTGGCAGCCTCCCAACCTCCTCCTTCTGACACCCGCGGAGATGTTCCATGAACTTTTTAGATTCAATCGAGCTTCCTTGCTTTGTTTGTCTGCTTTGTTTTGTGTCCGTGTGTCCTTTATGTTTGCTGAATCACAATCGCAATTACTTGCTGTTCGCAATCGGCAGTTTAAACGTGGGCAAAATTTATGAAGTTAAACCTTGCAATTGCAGTGGTGTCTACGCTTAGTTCTGTTTTGTTGGAGTGCTGCCATTTAATGTTTGTCCGGCTGCACCAGAAAGTTTGAATGATGATTTGAGTTAGGGCTAGAGGTAGTGCTTGTGGAGGCTCTCAGTCGTACAGGAAAGTTCCATCGTAGAAAGGGTTCTGTCAGTCGTCATCTGTACCTGTGGGTAAAAAACAAAAAACAAAAAAAAAAAAACAACAAAAAACAAAAAAGGACGTTTCGCTTTTTTTTTATTTTATTTTATTTTTTTTTTGTTTTTTACCCACAGGTACAGATGACGACTGACAGAACCCTTTCTACGATGGCTAGAGGTAATGGTATCGGCGCTTTGCTTCCGGGTTTGACTGCTGGGATTTGTAGTCCTTTTGTTAGGTTCCACTTGTATGGTTTCTCATTATATTTAGACTATGAATCTTGATGACATTAGAAATAAATTTTATTTCATATAAAACATCAAAGGTAATAATCATGACAATGAGAATACATCATGCTAAAATTAATGGGATAAAATCATGATAGATACTGCGATTGATAAAATTATTTTTAAGATGAAGGTATTAAGTTGTTGAATTCATGTCTATTATATACATTATTTACATTGTGATGCATGGAAATAGGTACATTAGTTTTGTTGTATTCATTCTTACTTTTAGGTTATTACCTGCTGTGTGCGTCAATAAATGATCAAAGACTACATAGCGAGTAATCCTTCCATGCTGAGTGATGATCCCTATTCAGAAGGCTGTGAAAAAAACAGAAATAACTGAACCAGTAGTTTTAATATTTGTGTCTCCAGTTAGTCCAAAATGCTGCTGTTCGCCTCTTGACTGGTACTCCTAAGAGCAAACACATAACTCGTTCTTTGACGTATCTTCATTGGCTCCGTGTACATTTTAGTTAATTTTTTTCAAATTCTATTTTTTGTTTTCACATTTTTAAATGGGACTTGCTCCTTCAGGTGCGTAGGACCTGCCTGGTACCTTAGGTCAGCAGACCAGAGGCTATTGGAGGTACCGAGAACTAGACGAAGGCTCAGGAGAGATTGAGCCTTTTTCGCTGCCGGTCCCTCTCTCCTCCCGCTAAATATTAGGCACGCCCCCGTAGGGCCAATCTTTAAAACGCATATTTATTCTTCTGCTTTTGACACAGCATTAGACTTTGTTTTGCTTTTACTCTTTTATGCTTTTTACTGTCTTCATTGTTAATTTATTGTTTTAACCATGTTTGTTGTTGTACGGGTTAAGGCAAAATGAGCTGACACATTTGTAGGTTAAATAAAAGGCAAATAAAGTAAATAAACAAAAAACTGTTTTTATTTTCGACAAGTACATATAATGCAATTTTTTTCATATAATGCCATTTTGCTTTGTTTCTTTTTCAGTTGTGGCCATGAATTGAGCATCGCGCTTTCATTGTGGAAACTTTTATCAAAAACAAATGAATCTGTAACTGCAAGACAACGAGCGTTCCGTTTGCACTTCAATCTTGGTAGACATGATCCCATACCAACTCGAAACACGATCTTGTTATGGGTTACCAACTTCAGAGCTACTGGATCCGCATTGAAACGAAATTCAACTGGCCGACCTCGCACCGCCAGAATTCCACTGAATTTTTCAAACATAATCAAACAGAATGGCATTGTATGTACTTTTTGAAAAGAAAAACATTTTTGTTTCTTTACATTATTTGACTTTTATTTAACCTACAAATGTCTCAGATCCTTTTGCCTGACCCTGTATAACTTATTTTTGCTCCAATTACAGCACTATGTAAGCAGTAGTAGTTGTTTTAAAGTACTCTATGAATACAGTTGAGTCGTAATAGTTTTTTTTTTGTTTTTTTTAAATATATAAAATTTCATGTGCTAAAAAATAAAAAAATAAAAAAAAAGTTACATTTTATCTAACTTGAATAGAAAATGATGGTGTTAAAACATGTCTTTTCTCATTTGGACATGCAGGCTTGCTCATTCACAGGTGGTCTCACCTTTGATGGTGTGTTTGTTGGGACACAGAAACCACGGCAGCAACAAGAGGTACACAAAGTATACCAGGGACAGTACATTGTAGCGAAGAAGACAAGCTGCAAAAAGAACAAATTAGTTGGGTTACTCACCAGCATCATTGCAATCAATACATCACAAGGATAAAAGGTATTTGCATAAAGAATGGGTCTGCGCTATTCACGAGGCATACGAGCCGAGCAGGCCTGTGAATAGCCATAAAATCGGAAATTGATTCTTGGGTAATTGATTCATCATTATGAAATGCATTGGAAACAAAATATTAACGTATTTTTCTTAAAACAAAAACATTCTTGAAAAAGTGGGAATAAGCATTTTCCATGATAAATGGGGGAATCCCCTGGAATAAACAAAACATATAAACATATATTTTCTAAAAACATTGGAAAAAAATGTTCCAACAGATTAATATGTGGGTTCTGAACCACAAGTATGTGGTGGTCCACTGTACACAGTTACTTATTTATAAGGCGTAGAAAAAAAAGTACCGTAGTGTGTTTCTGGTAACCCGACCGACCGAGAATTTCTACGTCGAAAAAGAACTTTACGGTCGGCATTTTTTTCAAACAACCCTCTACATTTTTGTGTAGAGGGTTTACATCGGTGCAAACTCTCGCGATATTCACGTTGAGCGCGTGCGTCGTTTGCCCTGTCGTCTGTCAACAACATTGAAACATGGCGGCGGCCGCGATCTCCGACGACAGTTTAAACCGCGTTTTCTGTGTTACAGTCGCATGCTTGCACCGTAATGTTAAGAAAATAGCATCCATTGATGTATCGAAAAAATTCAGCGAAGTATTTGATGAACACCATGGGCCGAGTAAAAGCCGAGGGCGGCGGCAGAGGCGGCAACGCGACCCCGCCCCCCGAGTCCGGAGCGGAGAGAAAACTAAATAGGTGCCGGCCGCGGAACGGCGTGTTCAATGTCTTCTTGTTTTATGTTTTATGGTTATTTTGTTTAAATTTTTGATATGGTGAAAGAAAATTTATAAATGAAAAAAAAAAAAAAAAAACTTTGCCCGACCTACTGACCCTATGCTGAAATTTCATGTTACCGGAAACACACTATCTTTTTTGTTTGGTCTAAGGGTAATCAAAGCTGACAACCCACGGAAATTCCCTTCCTTAACAATTTGTCCGGATTTCCATTATTTATTTATTTATTTTTGGGTCATGAAAATTACCACGAGATGGCTATCACAGCATATTATGTAATACGATTAAAAAAAAATATATGCATATTGTTCACTTGCACAGCAATCATTACTCTGTAACTATCACTGTTAATAAAAAAATGGGTTCAATATTTTTTGTGATATTTTATTTGTTTGTTTATGGAACATATAGACAGATAACAGAAATTTGGTATGAAGTGAAAGGGAAGTACAAAAACCTTAAAAAAAGAAAACTGACATTTTGCACAGTTTGTGTTCAAAGGAAGTAGTAAAAAAAATGTATCTAGTCCTACCCCTTGTTCTTGGTATATTTTAACTTGTTAAAATGACAACAGATCAATCATGTTTGTAGAGTGTATCCCAAAAAGAAAAGGAAAAAAGTCAAGTTTGCAACTGCACTTAGGTACACCTAATGCATAGTGTACATATGGCTACAACATACGGTTGAGACAGGTGCTACGTAAGCACACCCTCTCGCACAGTGGCTTCAAACTCGCGGCCCGCGGGCCAAATGCAGGACACTAGTTTGCGGCCCCTGCCTTGTTATGACAGTTTAATGTTAGTGCGGTCCACGCAAGTTTGATATGAAGGCTGTGTCTGTTAGCACTACCTCCGTGCTAAATAGTTAAGTCTGTCTCATTCGAAGGCCAACAGCTTCGGAGCACCTGGACTGTAGCGGCAATGTGACCGTGCCCACAGTGTCCCACACCAGCTTGAATACACGTGTAAACCACAGATGTAAACAACCTGCCCCTGCTGCTGAATACACATATAAACAGATAAACAACACGCTAGCGTGGCTGTCATCGGAGCTGGGTGTTCCGAAGCACCAGATCTTACGTTACACATGCACAAGAACGGGGGAAATGAGTCCTAAGATGCTAACACGGAGCTAGCACTACTACATCTACACAAACGAAGTTTTATTTGTATGTGTCCATGGTAGCGCTAGCTCCATGCTAGCCATTAGCTGAACTTTTCAGACTTTCATTTTTTTATGTATTTTATATTAAACGGGGGTGGCCCAGTGGTCCAGTGGTTAGCGTGTCATGCTTAATCTGTTTGGGACCAACAGGTGGCTCTGTAGGGCTCATGAGTAGGTTCTCTGTTAAAAGGACTCCTGGCCCGCCCACTCAGTGTCGGGTCATTGTTTCTGTTGTAGTCACTGCTTCTGTTGGTTAGTGTTTGTGCGTTACTGACATGGATTTTTGTAGTGATGTGCCCGACTGTGCCGAGGCTCCGATGCGTGTGCCGAGTAAACCGGAAGAAAATCTGTGAAGCGCGCATCGAGGCATGTGTCGATTATGCTTGTGGCCACGCCCGATGCCTCGGAACGCGCGTTGCTCCGCCCGAAGCTTCGCGAGATGGGATTCCTACGTCACCGCCAACAAATAGTTTCGCGGGTGATTTGAAATAAAACGGCGCACCGGGACGACAATGAGCTGACAGGTGACACTGACTAGAGCAGGGGCCTCAATTATTGCTTCATGAGGCTTCATTTTCCCATCACTAGATTTTTGTTTGTAGTTTTGTCATGTCATGTTTTTTGCTTATGCCATGGGGTTTTGTTTGTTACTTTGGTTTCTTGTTGTTTTCAGGACTTTGATTGTTTTGGATTGAGATTTTTTTCGTGTTTGAGTAATACACTTTGTCAAGTTCAACCTGCTCCTCCCTCCTGACTGCTTTTTGGGGTCCTCCACTACCACACTTCGTGACACACTCTTTCTATTTCAATTGAAGTTTTTTTTTAAGTTTAGTGATTATGTATTTATGTCAAATCATGTTTTAAAATGTATTCAATTCGTTTTCCACAGTTGTCAGAAGCTGTTTCAGATTTTCTCCAGAGCAGTAGAAACTAGTGACACTTTAAAGTAGTTTTGAAACG